ATATATACTACGTACGTACGTACATACGTGTATACATACATTCATGCAAATTTACATGCATGCATGCACGCATATGTATACATATACATATACATGCACATATACATAACATAATATATATATATATATATATATATATATCAGCTGATGTATCTGAGGATTGCTTGCATAAATACTTATGATATGGATTAAGACTACTATGCATGTCCACGCAAAGATCTATAGGTACACGATGTTCATCTGTCCTCTTCATTTGTAGAAATTCGTTCACATTGCCATATGCACCAAAACTACCCTACGGCTGTATCAAAATCCACAACTAAACGAGTAGCAACCACATGTGTTGCGTACGCAAGGCTTAGCCCCCTTAAGTATTCTCCGATACCAGGCAATGCTTAAGCCACACAAGATTTCTCCAATACAAGGGGCATATTGAAACAATAAATCTATAACATCAAGCAACAACAACTTGTATTGCGTCTACCCATCGATAGCTAAATACTGCATGCATTCAAGCATGCCTTTTCTTGGTCTCGTCGTCGGACTCAAAGACCCCATACTGCTTCAACGCCTCTTTGAGCTTCTCAGTCAGCTCCAGCTCTTCCGCACTTGGGGCAGCAGTGGATATAGGATTGCTGGTATACCCTGATTGGTAACTCATGTTGTTGATGTATCTAGAGCTCAACCAAGTTTAAAGTAAACTCCGTATACACAAGTATGTATGCGGCTCCTAGTGGATCGAAAGTTATGACTGGATTTATTTGTAGATCCGACTCTCACTTACGTATCTGCAATAGGTCCGGTCGTTAACTGATATACCGGTGGATGCTAGCTCTGGTTAGGTATGCTACTATAAAGCTATACTGCAATAGCTTGGCCACGAACACGAGCTCTTAAATTTACTATACAACCACGACATATATATATATATATATATCCTCTTGATTCCTATATACAAACGTACGCGATACATTAGGAGGGATCGCAATCGATCCAACCTCGGCGAAGTCGTAAAGTAGTACCGAACATTTACTTGGTCTATATTTCCGCACCCTCACGTGCTATTTTTGTTTGTTTGTTCAATTTGTTTTAGGTGATCAACCGCAACTCAATATGTATTCCAAAACATATAAATGCCCACCTCATCACGATATGATAGATAACGCTTCTCGGCCGATTGGCTAAGATCAAGTGTAGTATCTGTTCTAATC